GGAACAAAGAAGAAAACTAATTTTCAAAAACATATACCTAATATAACTGCACAGGAGACATTCTCTGCAATACTGATATTACTTTTATATAATTTTTTGGACATAGATAAAGGGTATGTGTTACACACCACAACTGGAAATACTTTCTTGAGGTGATACATGATTCACCTCATAGCATCTTCTTTTTTGTGTCTTTTTGACCCAGAACTATAATTTGTTTTTCACTTAATTTTGAGTACCTTGAATTCATGGAGTTCTAAATTATAATTATATTAGGTCCGTGGGCCACTTAACATGATCACAAAGCAGGCATGAAAAAATGTTGAATGAATGAATCGATGGATGGACTAATATATTCCTGGCTTGTAAGAGGAAAATACTTCCACTTGTTGACATGGGGCCTTAGGAAGTTGTTAGTGATTCCCAAGCTCTTAATCTTGAAGATCCTTTGTGTATTAGTCCATTTTCATGCTGCTAATAAAGACATATCTGAGACTGGGCAGTTTACAAAAGAAAGAGGTTTATTGGAATTAAAGTTCTATGTGGCTGGGGAAGCCTCCCAATCATGGCAGAAGGTAAAAGGCACATCTTACATGGTAGCAGACAAAAGAAGTGAGCTTGTGTAGGGAAATTCCCCTTTTAAAACCATGAAATCTCATTAGATTTATTCACAATCAAGAGAACAGCAAGGGAAAGATCTTCCCCCATGATTCAATTACCTGCAGCCGGGTTCCTCCCACAACACATGGGAATTCAAAATGAGGTTTGAGTAGGGACACAGCCAAACCATATAACCTTGTTATTATACCTGTATGTGTGTATGTGTGTGTGCATTGATGCTACTTCCTGACTGTTGTCATTCAGAATCATGCACTGTCTATGACACCTTAGTGTTCATGTGATACCAGAATGAGTTTTTTTTCTTGAACCATCTGACGATCTTTGATTGGAAATAGAACTTTGGGTCACTTATTGTTCCAACCACTAGAAGTAAAACAGACAAAGACAGCTTTTCTACTTGTGCAGAAAACTCACAAATGAGTATAAGACAGAAATGCACAAAGAACTAGAGAGCATTAAGAGCTTCTGAACTTTTTGGAGGTGAGACCTGAAGGATGAATATAAACTGTGCAGAGAAAGAATGTGGGTTTAGTGGTAGGCAACAGAGTATTTGAAGAGGGCTTGCTTTTTTTCCTGATGACTGGATCTGAATGTGGGAAGGTAGATGAGAAGGTCTGAGAGGCTGTACACATTCATGCATGTGAAATGTCTATGTTTCTTTGGAATAATCGAAGAAAGAGATTAAACCTGAAAGTAAGAAGATAACATCTGGGAGATGGAAGAAGAAAGGGATAAACCTTGAGATTAAGTAGAGCCACCCTTTGCAAAGCTTTGCCAACTGGATAACTGATACTTTATCAAGGGGTTTTGAAATTTATTGAGCAGTTTTAAGAAGGAGGGATTATATTCAAGTTGCTTTATTTTATTTTATTTTTTTGATGGAGTCTCTCTCTGTCACCAGGCTGGAGTGCAGCTGTGCGATCTTGATGCGCTGCAACCTCCACCTCCCAGGTTCAAGAGATTCTCCTCCCTCAGCCTCCCGAGTGGCTGGGGCTATAGACATGCACCACCACACTCAACTAATTTTTGTATTTTTAGTAGATGGGATTTCACCATGTTTGCCAGGATGGTCTTGATCTCTTGACCTCCTGATCCGCCTGCCTCAGCTGGGATTACAGGTGTGAGCCACTGTACTGGGCCTCAAGTTGCTTTTAAAATTACTTGATCTTCTCTGTGAAAGAAAATGGCTAGATCAGCAATGTTAAAAGGATATATCTTTCTTAATCTGAAAAGTAATGATAATTTTAAACTGAATAGGCTTATTGGAAATGAGTTTTATACCCCTTGGTGTAATGAGGCAGGTTGAATTTGAAATGGAGCCAAACACAGAGCCTGACACAAAGAATTCATTTAATATACCTTAGCTTCTCTCTAGTCCTTTCTAATTTCCTTCTTTTCTCTTGCCTTGTCAAATATATTTTTTAAGTGGAACTGCGTGTTGCTTCTGTCGTGTCTGTATTACACATGCCTGTGAATAGTGGGGAATAAGCATTGGTCTAACTAGAGCCAAATCTCCAGGCAGCGCTGCCTTTAAAGACTCACATGGGGCAGGCACAGTGGCTCATCGACTGTAATCCCAGCATTTTGGGAAGCCAAGGTGGAAGGATCGCTTGAGTCCAGGAGTTTGAGACCAGCCTGGGCAATATGGTGGGACCCAATCTCTACAAAACAAAAGAACAACAACAACAACAACAAAAACAATTAGATTGGCATGGTGGCACATGCCTGTAATCCCAGCCACTCAGGAGGCTGAGGCAGGATAGCTTGAGCCGGGGAGATTGAGGCTGCAGTGAGCTATAATTGCGCCACTTAACTCCAGCCTAGGTGACAGAATGAAACCGTGTTTCAATTTTAAGAAAAGCACACCTCATCCTTTCCATTGTCCTCTTTATTTCCTTTTAAGTTATATTTACATAGTCTTCTGTCTACAGATGCTCTTTATCATGAGAGAAAAAAAATAGCAGAGACATTGACTGAGCTCTTGTCCAGTCTTTGAGTGTGACGTTGTTCCATGCTGATACAATCTCTTCAGTCTTCAGGTTTGCATGGAACCGATTAAGCAAGGCATTTTTGTCATCGTCTACCATATGTTTACTTGATATTTGTGATCTTCTGAATGAGAACCTGGGGTAAAGTCATGAGATCATAAGGTCCATCTAAACCTGATTCCAGCACCAGCATCCATTAATCCATTTGCTGTTTTAGAAGGAGGCTTATTGTGCCGTATTTTGCCAAATAGCAAACTAGGAAAACTGTCAAAAGGGCATTATAGAAGAAGAAAAAAATCTTTCGATAAAATATGCTTCATTTTCATCATTTCAATTGCTTTGTGATTATGGCCTATTTCTCCAGAAACAGCAGATTTTCAGCAAATGGTTGAGTCTCTAAAAAACTACTGATCACTTTCCTAAATAAACTGGGGGGCAATTTCTACAATAACATAAAATGCTTCCTTCTTATTCAAAGGAATGCCACAATCACTGTCCACTTGACAATTCAGTCTTGAAGGTCAAATAAAACATCACACTTCTATTAATTTAAAAAAAATCTTCCAGAAAGAGAATGTTCACAACTTCCACTGTGCTCACAAAAAACTTTGTACGCCATGTTGCACACCACTGCATAGTTTAATTTTGGCTTTGTCTGTCCATTGGTCCCACTAATATCTTGTGATTACATTGTGTTCTCATCATGCCTTCTCTCTGTGTATCTAAAATCTTCACATAAAAATAGGTGGTTAGAAAAAAAAATGCTTTTAAAGGAATGAATGTATAGGCTCTCAGAAATGTATCCCAAGATCTTTTTTAAATTACATTTCGAAACAATTATAGAGTCACTGGAAATTGCAAAGTTAGTACAGAAAGTTCCCCTTTGACTTTCATTCAGCTTTCCCTAATGGAAATATTTGAATAACTCGTGTGTTCAAAACAAGGAAATTGGTATCGTCACAATACAATTAACTAGAGTCTACTTGGATTTCATTAGGTTTTGCATGCACTGTTTTTTCTTTCTGTGTTAATTTTTGTACTTTTGTGTGTATAGTTATATGAGATTGTCTCACCTGCGTAGATTTATACAATTAAGATACAGAAATGTTCTGCCACTCAAAGGAACTACTTTTATAGCCACACCCTCTTCCTCTGCACTAACTACAGGCAACTGTTGATCTCTTGTCCCATTGCTGGAGTTGTGTTGTTTAGAAAATGTTATGTAAATGGAATCATCTAGCACTTAACTTTCAAAGATTGACATTTTTCACTCAGTGTGATGCCCTTGAAATCCATCCAACTTGTTGCATTACCTGCAGTTTCTTTCTTTTTAATGCTGGGTAGCATTCTATTATGGGATTGTACCACAGCGTGTTTAGCCAGACTCCTCAAACATTTAATATAATTTTCAAATTGCTTTATCATTATCATCTCATTCTTACACTTCTCTTAGGTAACAGTTAAAAAATTCTTCCCCTAAGATCCTTCTTGTGAATGTTTTTCATTAAATTCTCTATAAGTCATGTCCCTTATGAATGTGCCAGAGAGGAATAGCTGGATATCTAACTTGGCCTTCCAGCATTCTTTAACCTGGAACCAAGCTGAAGAATACAACTTCCCTGGTAGTTAGGACAAAATGGTTATAGGGCCTTGGCAAGAATTTGGAACTGTACAGGTTACAGAAAATGATTTTGGTCAATGTTCCTAATTCACTCTATTCTTCTGGTACACATTAACCTTTTAGTCCAGGGTTCTTTAGCAATGCACTTTTAAGTGCTATCAGAGAATTTATTTGTTCTCAACCATGCATAACTCAGTAAATTTGAGAGCTTGATCTTTGGGAGGAACGTTTTTTAAAGGAAGATCTTTTTGTATTTAATATAGCTCTCGCAAGAACTCAATGTAACAAATCGATATATATTTATGGTGTCACCAAAGATTTCGGGTGGATAAGGAGGTGGTGGTGTGAGTTGGAAGGGAATCGACAGCTTCTTCTTACTCTAAGGAGTGGAGCTGCCTTTTTTTTTCCAGTACAATAATGATTCAAACACACAAAAAGAATCCCCATGATGCTAAATAAAAAAATACTTTGTGTTTTCTTTTTCTGCTTTTTTTCAGTCTCACCCCGAGATCACAGCAAAGAATGGAAAGAAAAAAATAATAATAATGAGAGTCTGACTTAGTAAAAGCGAAGTTCTTTCTCTGTTAGTATCACAAAAACAGAGAAGCCCCCAGGCCTTTCATGTGTATTCTGGAAGTAATGCCTGCTTCCAAAAATGGTAAGTTTAACCTTCTCGAAGTTACATTTTCCTGAATTATCAAGGCTCAATCTTGTTCTTTTGTTATTGAATACATCTCTCATAAAACTCAGATGCCTTTTTTGGACTGACCCTGGAGCTGAGGGTGGAGGCAGCAAGGAGGTGGGTGAGGAGGAAGCCCAAGTATTTCATGTTTCTTATAATCAGTTTCTTTCAGGGACTTCTTCAGGGACTGCCTGATCCCTTCACAATGCTCCTCTTCCTGATCAAGGAAAAGACATGTGATTTTGCAGTCTCCTTTAGCTCTCCTTCATGGAAATGATTCTCTTGACACTGAAACTAAAACATCGTCTAGGCATGGCTGAAAAGTAAGTGTTCTGGGCCTCTTTTCAACTTCTCCAAGCCCCAGCCGCGACTGGAAATTGTTAAGCAGCATTTCTTACAGTTTCTTTCTGTTTTTACTATTTTGGTTTCCTTTATAGGAATCATTTTTCACTGCAGGAAGAAAAGTGAGGGAGTGAAAGGTAACAGAGTGCGAAGAATAGAATAATATTTGCTCTCTGCTGAGTCATCTGACTCAGATCATTAGTTGGGGGCTTTTGAGGCTGGATTTCTAGCTGGAAAGTGCTTTTAAAAATGAGAAAAACTGAAATTAACCCTCGTGCTGATGGTCAGGATTTAACTAGGAATAGAAGTTTGCCTCTAAGAATGTTCAGGGAAATTTCTGAGACGGTCTTGCCTAGGGACTTCCCACTTGTGGATTCCAATTTTTAACTCTGAGTTTTGTATTGAAATAGATGTGTCATGTTCTCCTAATATCTGTGAAATATTTTATATTTTATGATAGGATAAGTTAGGAACAAAAGCAGGAAATTTTCCAAATCTTGGGCCATGTTGTGAGTGGATATTTGGTGTAATAGAGAGAATTAGGTATTGAAGACAGACAGGCCTGAATGCATTTTGCTCAATATATCGTCTACCAACTGATGATTTTTTGAGAAGCCCTGTTACCTTTTTGATCTGGAACATTGTAATGTTACCCTTCTTTCAAGGCTGCTGCAGGGGTTATAATGTGAAAAATAAATCATAATTTATTATTAGAAAAATAGTATTTTATTATTAGAAATCTAAACTAGAAAAATGTAGATGTTGTACAGGCCTTCAAAATAGTCTACACAAGCACCCTGCATTTAAAAATAGTAAATCAAAACCTAATGACATGAACTTATAAATATAGAAAGGTAGTATTAGAGAACTTCTGGCTCTTAGGTTATTATATGTAGAATAGTTTTGACTTATATTTATAACTTCTGTGTGTATACTTGTAAATATTTATAGTACATGGATACTCACTATTTATAACACTGAGTAAATCATTTTAGAGTAAATTTGGCATATATCTCATAATAAAAACATTGTAAATAAAGGTAAAGGATTTGCAATCAATGACAACTCAAAGGAAAATAAAAGTGATTCTGCTAGATTCAAACCAAAGATTAATTTCTACGTGAAGATACAACATGAGTTCACTTATTTTTATCATATCCAGCCTACATCTGACTTTGTTACCCAATAAATGTTATGCTGGAACTGTTATATAACATCGCACATTCAGCCGTTGTTCCAGCAGATGACATTAAAACTCCTTCAACCACCGTTAAGATAACAAGTAAATTCCACTTCCTTGGGATTCCTGGCAATAATTGAAAACTTATTTAACATATGCCTAGAAAGACCAGCTGAAGAAGAGAACAGAAAAATTATTATTCAACTTTTTCAGAGTCTGCCTAAAATAACCCTAGAATGATTGGACTGACAATTCCCATTGGATAGGAGGCCTGTGGCCCTTATGGTCGTAAAAAGACGTGTCATCTGTGACCTTTACAATAGAAGATGGGGAAGACCAAGCTGGGCAAACAATTGTACAGATGTTGAAGGAGATAGAAATGTTCTTTCATACTTAAGGATTAAAGATACAATTTAATCTTTGAAAATACATAAATTACATGATACATAAACAACCTATATCTCCTCTAATCATATTACTCAAACAAAACACAGATTTATCCTAAGAGAAAGCTTTTACAATAGCTTAAGTGGACTGATACTCTTTTTCTTTTAAACTAATTAATAAACATGTAAGTGTAGAATACCGTATTATACATAACATAACTCCAGAACTTTTTCATCTTCCATAACTGAAACTCTACAGCCAGTGAACTCCTTATTTCCCTCTCCCCATAGCCCCTGGAAAACACCATTCTACCTTTTGCTGCTTAGAGTTTGAGTACTTCAGATACCTCAGATAATTGGAATCATACAGTATTCAAAAGAATTGAAAACAAGATCTCAAAGAGATATTATTTATACTCTGAAGTTTATTCTGGCATTATTCACAAATGCCAATATATGAAATAACCCCAAAGTCCATGTATGGATGAATGGATAATGAAAAGGTGATAGTGATCTATCTGTAGATATCTATCTCTCTCTCTCTCTCTCTCTCTCTCTCTCTATCTATCTACCTACCTATTTATCACCTATCTGTTGATGGATAGATATCTATAGATAGAGAGAAATATAGATATCTACATCTCTCTATATTTATATATAAATATATAAATATAGATATAAATATTCTACTCTATAAATATATAGGTTTCTACATAGCTATAGAGATATCTATATATATCTGTATCTATATAATTTTTGTTTTAGTAAACAAATTATATTCATATTATTTTATATTCATGAATTAAATTTACATTATTCACATTACATAAATATGTAGATACATATATATTTATTTATAGAGATATCTATATCTGTCTATCATCTATCTCTCTATCTATCTATCTATCTATCTATCTATCTATCTATCTATCTATCTAATACACAGTCGTAGTCTCTTAATGATGGGATATATTTTGAGAAATGAATCCTTAAGCTATTTTGCCATGTGTTGACAGAGTGTACATACACAAATCTAGACAGTACAGCCTACTACATATCTAGGCTGATTATGTAAACTTTTCTCATAAAGAGTTTGAAGCCAACCCATTATGTATAAAATGTAAATATTACCGGGGAAAAAAACATGTTATATGTTTTATTAGTTTTATATAATATAAACAAGAACTTTCACTCTCTGGGCCTCAATATTTCTTACCGGTTTGAAAAAAGAAAAGAAGAGAAGAAGGTAAAAAACCGAAGCTTGTTATTTTCTAAAGGAAGTTTGATAGCTAAAAGTTTTTGATAGTTAACCTGATGGAGTGTAGAGATTTTCCAAGGGATTTGGATTCTAAAGGCTTGGATCTAAGTTTTCAGTCTGTCATTAAATAGCTTTGTGTTCTAGTTTTGTATCCTTGGTGTCTTCAGCTATAAAATTATGCTGATACCAGATTTTCTCCAGGGCTTTTAGGTAAATCACATAAAGCTGTAAATATGAAAATAATTTTTGTTTACTAAAAATATGAATGTTTTCTGATGATTCTATTAGTAGTGTTAGTCAATAGGATATATGAAGCTCAAGGACTGAAATGTTGACATTTATATATAAATATGTCAATATATAGATATAACATTTCTCTGTCATTTAACATCTGTTTACATGTTCTCTGTCAAGGTCATGCATGTACTGGATGTTTTTTTACCAGTGACTTTAAGTGAATCTGAAATTATTTAGGAGAATCCCAGAATTTGAGAATTGGGTAGTAGGACCTGGAATCTGGAATCTAAAGATGCTAAGGCAATTAACAAAGGCTAAACTAAAGGTGAATAATCATTCCAGATAATTAATTAAGAAACAGTTTATGTTTCCCAGAAGTTGATTCTGGGATAAAAAAGCATTTCTAAATACTTATTTCTATTTTGAAATATATTCTTATGCAGATACTCAGTTATAATATTGATTTCAAGAACCGATCAAAAAGGATTGATAAGTGTTTCTCAAATACCAGTGAAGTACTTGCCTGTCGCCCAGGCAACTTGCATGTATTACTTTGTGTAATCCTCCTGATAACTCTGTCAGATGGGTACTCCTCTTTCCATTTTACAGATGTGGGGCTGAGTTGCAATGAATATCTAAAGTTCCCAGAGGTATGACACAGAGATGAGATCTTACCCAGATGTTCTATCTGTCTAAGTATCTATTATCTAAATATGCATAATATATTTTTATCAATTTGTATTAGTCCATTCTCTCATTACTATAAAGAAATACCAGAGACTGGGTAATTTATAAAGAAAAGAAGTTTACTTGGCTCACAGTACTGCGGGTTTGTACAGGAAGCATGACACTGGCATCTGCTTGGTTTCTGGGGAGGTCTCAAGAAAATTATAATCATGGGAAAGGCAAAGTGGGAGCAGCACATCACATGGACGGAGGAGCAAGAGAGCAAGGGTGAGAAGCTACACACTTTTAAATGACCAGATCACATGAGAACTCACTATTATAACAGAACCAATGGGGATGGTGCTAAACCATTCATGAGAAATCAGCCCTCATGAGCGAGTCATCCCTCACCAGTCCCCATCTCCAACACTGGGGATTATATTTCAGTATGAGATTTGGGTGGGGACAGTTCCAAACCATATCATTATCAATATATCTTTGTGTGCATGTATGTATCTTTCTGTCTGCCGATCTCTCTATTTCTATACCTATATAATACCTTGAGAAAGTAAGTCTGTATCTTATTTTCATATTGACATATCTTGCTCAAGTAATATAAAGTGCCAACCACAAGTGAAAATCAACTTCAGAATCATGTCCACTGTATAGAATAAAGACAAAAGAAGAAGGATGGGCATAAGAAATCTGAAATAATTTATGAGTATAGGACTGGGTAGTATTTCTAGGAACAACATTTTAAATAACAGTGGGAATCCTGTTATAAGCTTGTATAACTTCATGGAAGAAATGGAGAAAACAGGGAAAAGTAAAATTAATTGTACAATTCAGTTATATTTTAACACTTGATTTACACCTTATTCAGATAAATCAGTTCTTAGTGTTTCCTCAGAAGAAGAAGGAGTCTTAGGAAAACTCGAGATGCCCCAGAATCAACTTATTTGAATTATAGTTTAGTTAATGGCTTTTGGAAGAAAAAAAAAAAGGCTGATAATATCGATAAATGTGTTATAGTTATGTTGTGGGTTTTTTTTTTTTTTTTGATTACCTGAAAAAACTTGTATCTGCCTGGGAAAATAGAAAAAAGATAGGTATGTAAAAATATGTGTGGGGAATAGTCAGAGAACATGAGTAATTTAGCATGAAGTCACGCATGTTCCAAGTCTAATCTAATTTATGAAGCCCACCAATGATACAAGTTCTTTCACCCTCCTCCTGAATTTTTCTTCTCAGAAC